GCTCCCGGGTGCGGCGGGAGACGCGGGCGGTCGGGGCGGGGAGCCGGCCTCGAAGCGGAGCCGAGGGGAAAGGAGGCCGCGGGCGGTGGCCACGGCGGTTCTCCGAGCTAGAGAGTTGGGGTGAGAGTAGGGGGGGTGCATTTTGGGTAGAGGCGGTGCCTGAAGGCCGGGTGGGGTACCCAGCGGGAACCAAGCTCCCCGGTCACGAGTTTCTTTGCCACAGGAACCTCATCTCCTGCCAGGTTCGCTCACGACTCCGCCTTTGAGGCTTTCACTTGGGCCCTTTCCTCATTTTCTACAAAAAAAAAAAGCTTTTTCCCCCTGCCCCAACACATACCTTCTGAGCTTAGGTAGTATCTTTGAGAAAGAGAGAGCTTAAAAAAGTGTTTCATTGAATGGGGGAGAGGGCGAGGGTTTTTGACCCGTTTTTGTCCTTTAGAATGAACCGAGGTGGTTCATCCATGAGGTTGGATCAGTACCATCTTGCCTTGGATGAGGCTTTTTCTATGTTTCCAGGAAAAATGTTTTTTTCGCATTTTAAGACCGAAATTCACCCAAAACCTCTTAAAAAAAAAAAAAAAGTGTGAAGGTAAAAGACATATTAGAAGAGATGTGAGAAGAAATGAGCTTAAAAGTTTATGACCACACATTTCAAAAAAATAAGAGTTCTTTATAAATTAAAATGAAAAGAATGGTAAGAAAGTGAATGTTTTAAATTAAAAGGAAGGGGATGGTAAGAAAGTGAATGTTAAATTCAGCATGTCAGATTTGATACAAGCAAGCAGTTATTGAAAGCTGGAGAAAAGCTAAATGCTTTCCTATTGAAGACTTAATATAACTTTAAGACTGAAATTGGAGTGCCAATTTTCCCGTTTGGGGGATGGTAGGGACACATGAATGTCTTGAATATTTAATTCTAAGGATTTGAAACAGTTTAAAAGATCTTTTCAATTTACAGATGAAGAAACCTTAACCTTATTAGGGTTGCTTAGGATCTATTATTAGGGAATGTTACTTTCCAGATTAAAAAGTTGCATTTTATCGATCTCTTTAATATACTAACGCAGGACTGCTTTCTACATATAGAAGTGACCCTTAAACCATTCAAGGTGGCATCTATCAAAATTGTCTTATCCTGGAAGCAATAAAGTGAGAAACTGGGCTTAACAGTTTTGAGAGAATGTAAACAATTTGTGATGAGCAGTTTTGCATGTGTGACCTGGTTACAGTGCTGTTGCTTTGACAAGTATAATGCTAATTTACTAAGAAAACTTCTGAAATGTACCTGTTATGTTGAGGTGGTCTTTAAATGACCCATTATCCACAAACCTGTGAAGAGGAACAATTTTTCTTTATCCAGAAGGGGGCGCAAGAGAGGGCCACAAATGTGTTCAGTAATTTTAATTTCAAATCCAAATGCTAGATTTATCAGGACTCAAGTTTTGCTGAATCTGTTTGAAGTCAGCTTAGATGCTTTACCATGGCATCTATAAATAATAAAAGCATTAGGAGTCCTTTTGTTTTTTAGTAACTTTTTATAGTGTTTACATTGTCCTAAAATACCTAAGTTTGTTCTTAGAAATTTTTGGTTTTAAAAAGAAAACTTCTCTCTGGAAGACTTTTTATACATCAACAAGGTTGCCATGGAAAAAAATTTCATATTGCTAAATGATATATATAATTATATATATATATTTTTTTAAATTAAAACTTAGGGGTGGGAGTATAGCGGTTTCTGAGTTGTTTTTCTTTGGTGATTCCTGAAATCTGAGCCACTGAACATTAGTAATCTTAGAAAAATTATTCCAGTTCACTTAAAAGTCTTAACTTTGGTCCAACTGTTTGGACATAGGATTTTTTTTTTTTTTGTATTTAAGACAGCTTAATTTTAATTAGAAACCCTAGTGGCGTAGTAGTTAAGAGTTTGACTGCTAACCAAAAGGTTGGCAGTTTGAATCCACCAGGTGCTCTTTGGAAACCCTATAGAGCAGTTCTGTCCTATAGGGTCACTATGAGTCAGAATCGACTCGATGGCAGTGGATTTGGTTTTTACTTTTAATTGGAAGCTCTGGTGGTGCAGTGGTTAAGAGCTCTGGCTGCTTACCAAAAGGTTGGCAGTTCAAATCCACCAGCTGCTCCTTGGAAACCCTATGGGGCGGTTCTACTCTGTTCTGTAGGGTCAGTGTGAGTTGGAATCGACTCGATGGCAATTTTGTTTTTGTTTTTAACATTTAATTGAAATCTGGAAAGTTGTGACTAATGGCTAAAAGGGTATAGACCTTTGCTTAACCTGATGGCATCTTAAGTGGTATATATATATAGTTCTTTGGTCCTGAGTTGCAGAAGGATAAAGTTACATTTGCTAAAAATGTTCAGTCTGTAATTAGGAACTTTCTGCTTTTCTAAAGAAAAAGCAACCTTTTAGAAATATCCCAGGCAGTAATCTCTTCCCTCCTGTTTCAGAGAATTAGAATTTTTCCACCAAAAGTGGCTTGATTGGCTAGCATAGCTTTTTCAGCAGCCAGAAAATAAAAAATGTAACCCTACAGGAGTTAAAAACTTTTGCACAAACTAGTCTCTCGTGGTAAAAGTTTTGCCACTGTCTTAGAAGTGATTATACTTTGAGTATTTTTTCTTGAGTGTATTTTTCTGATAATACAGTGGAAGGAAATGCCTTTATTTACTGATTTTTTAGTGTTCCCACCTTTTTTTACTGATGTAGAATAAGTGACTTAAAATTACAGTGAACCCTGTCGTGAATCTTCGCAGACTAAGGTATGTTCCTTCCACATCAAACTCCTTCAGAATAGTGGCCCTCAAACTGTTTTTTTTTAAACTCGGTATACTTTACATTCTTAAAATTGAGCACCTCCAAATAGTTTTCAATGTGGGTTATATCTGATGATACTTAACCATATTAGAAATTAAAACAGGAAATTTCAAAATAAGATTACAGAAGCTCACATGCCTTTTAGCCTTCACAGGCTAAAGACCCAAGAGAATGAGAGTGGTAAGGGCAAATAACTTAGTATTCCAGTTGGATCTTTCCCCCAAAAAAGCTGCATTGGTTGTGTGTGTCTGTCCTATTGCATATCTATTTCTAATGACCTCAAATGCTTTCACATACATTTTCCAGAAAGATAGTTAACTAGTTACCACTATTTTACTAGTAAGCAAATGGGAAAAGTTGTTGAGTTGTCCCAGTTTGGTCCTGAATCATTGTTCTGAGAGTTCCTTGAACCACCTGTAGCAATATAAGTTCACCGTTTTTTATGGTGGTGAAGGTCTTTAAACCTGAGTACCATAACACTTTAAAATTAGGTAACTTTCATTGTAGTTTTGTTAGTAAATATTTTCTTAGTGCCTCATTTGGGTTGGTAGTATGACATAGTGAAAGCATGGATTCCAGGCAGACTGGAATTGAGAGTTCCAGTTCTGCCACTTTGTGACTTGGGCAGGTTATTTAATCTCTTTGAGAAGTGTGTTTACTCAAATAGAAAATGGAGAAAATATATCTTATAAGGGTTACAAAAACACTGGTACATAGGTGTTTTGGTTTCATGTATTAACAATATGATCTAATGTCCAGGAAATGTCAAGACTTCATTAGACTTTAAGACTTCTTTAGAAAAAGTTCATGTTAGTTTTGTTCACTTTTAAAAGTTAAATTGGAAATAGAATCACAGAAATGGAAACTGCTTATGGTGACTACCAGCCATTTATAGTTTCAAAGGAATGAAGTCGGAAATTTCTTGTAATTACTATGTCAGTTTACTTGATTTTGCCAAGATGGTATGTCTGCTCTTAATTGTAAAGGAAAATTTTATAATGGCCTTGTGAGAGTGATAGGTAGGTTGATGGGAGAGATTATGGCATACTGCTTAAGAGGTCATGTTCTCTCTGGCCTCAGACTTTGATTTGAATCTGGCTTCGTTCTGTCCCTTGCTTAGCGGTAAAAATTTGGGCAAGTTACTCAATGTCTGGGTAGACTCCCATTTCCTAATCTGTAAAATAGGGCTAACAAGCGTCTTCTCATAGAGTTGTAAAATAACATTTAGAGATAAAGCTCATAGCGTAGTGTCGCACACAGTAAGTAAACAGTTACAAATGTTTGATAGTACTGTAATTTACATGTTGTAATTAAAAAATACCTTTTTGTTTTCCTAGGTTATGGTGAACTAAATGGTAATGCTGGAGAAAGAGAGATATCTTCAAAGAATCTGGGTTCTGATGAAGCTACCAACCCTTTCTCCAGGGTCCTCAATGGCAACCAGCAAGTTGTAGACACTAATGTGAAGCAGACTGTAAAGGCCAGCACCTTTGGGAGAGCAGGAATTAAAACCAAGAATTTCATTCAGAAAAACAGTATGGACAAAAAGAATGGAAAGTCTTATGAAAATAAATCTGGCGAAAACCAAACTGTAGACAAGACGGATACTGTAGCGATTCCAAATGGTGTTGTAACAAATAATTCTGGCTATATTACTAATGGTTATATGGGCAAAGGGGCAGATAATGATGGTAGTGGATCTGAGAGCGGATATACCACTCCTAAAAAAAGGAAAGCTAGGCGCAATAGTGCCAAGGGTTGTGAAAACCTTAATTTAGTGCAGGACAAAATAATGCAACAAGAGACCAGTGTCCCAACCTTAAAACAGGGACTTGAAACTTTCAAGCCTGATTACAGTGAACAAAAGGGAAATCGAGTAGATGGTTCTAAGCCCATTTGGAAGTATGAAACTGGAGGAACAAGTCGAGGAAAACCTTCTGTGGGTGATATGCTGCGGAAAAGCTCTGATATTAAACCTGGTGTGAGTAGTAAAAAGTTTGATGATCGGCCCAAAGGAAAGCATGCTTCAGCTGTTGCCTCTAAGGAGGATTCATGGACTCTATTTAAACCACCCCCAGTTTTTCCAGTGGACAATAGCAGTGCTAAAATAGTTCCTAAAATAAGTTATGCAAGCAAAGTTAAGGAAAACCTCAACAAAACTGTACAGAATTCTTCTGTGTCTCCATCTTCATCTTCATCCTCTTCGTCATCTGCTGGGGAAACTCAGACCCAGTCTTCAAGCCGGTTATCCCAGGTCCCTATGTCTGCGCTGAAATCTGTTACTTCTGCCAACTTTTCTAATGGGCCTGTTTTAGCAGGGACTGATGGAAGTGTATATTCTCCAGGGAGTCAGCCACTGCTAACTACTGCTGCTAATACTCTGACACCCATCTCTTCTGGAACTGATTCAGTTCTCCAGGACATGAGTTTAACTTCAGCAGCTGTTGAACAAATTAAGTCTAGCCTTTTTATCTACCCTTCAAATATGCAAACTGTGCTATTGAGCACAGCACAAGTGGATCTGCCCTCTCAGACAGATCAGCAAAACCTGGGGGATATCTTCCAGAATCAGTGGGGTTTATCATTTATAAACGAGCCCAGTGCTGGCCCTGAGACTGTTATTGGGAAGTCATCAGATCATAAAGTAATGGAAGTGACATTTCAAGGGGAATATCCTGCCACTTTGGTTTCACAGGGTGCTGAAATAATCCCCTCAGGAACGGAGCATCCTGTGTTTCCCAAGGCTTATGAGCTGGAAAAACGGACTAGTCTTCAAGTTCTGGGTAGCATTATAAAATCTGGGACTACCAGTGAGAGTGGAGCCTTATCCTTGGAATCCAGTCATATAGGTGACCTGCAAAAAGCAGACACCAGTAGTCAAGGTGCTTTAGTGTTTCTCTCAAAGGACTACGAGATAGAAAATCAAAATCCTTTGGCCTCTCCCACGAACACTTTGTTAGGCTCTGCCAAAGAACAGAAATACCAGAGAGGCCTAGAAAGGAATGATAGCTGGGGTTCTTTTGACCTGAGGGCTGCTATTGTATATCACACTAAAGGTAACTCATTTAAATGTTTCATATATAAAGATTCTTATTGGCCAGTTTAAGATATTTTTATTAGCTGTTTGTATTAGGGGTGAACTTTAGAAATTACTATGACTTTTTTTTTTTTTTTAAGAATTTCAGAGCTTAGTTGAGACAATCACAGTGTGGGTAAGCATCTAATGTTGGATTCTAATTCAGAGTCTTTGGAAATAGTATAGTATAGCTAAAGTTTAGAAGGAATTTTGACTTCCAACTTAAAAGCATTTCTTTTTATGTAGACAGGTATAATTGGCCTTTTGCCTGGTTCAAAAAATAAAGGAGGGAAGTTGAAGGGGTGACATTATATTTTCTCTTGAACACTGCTGAGTTCTTTTTAAATTTTTTTCTTTGAACAGGTGTTCCCTCTTTTTTTTTAAATCATATACTTCTTAGAATCATTAGTGAGCTCATTTAATAGTTCTGATTTGCTTAAAATAAGTAGGAGTGGTGTTTGTGAGGAGTCCAAAAAGATGTTAAACTATTCTCCTCTTTTATAACTATTAAGGATCCCTAATGGCATAGTGGTTAAGAGTTCCGCTGCTAGCCAAAGGACGGTAGTTCAAGTCCACCAGCCGCTCTTTGGAAACGGAATGGGGCAGTTCTACTCTGTCCTATAAGGTCGCTATGAGTCAGAATCAACTTGACGGCGAGTTTTTTTTTTTTTTAATAACTATTATAAAAAGTGTTAAACTATTTTTTCTCTTACAAGAACGAATAATAAGTGCTAAATGTTAACTAGAAAATAATTTAGACTACAAGAGTAGGACCAGGCAGTGTTTCGTTCTATTGTACATAGGGTCACTATGAGTCGGAACCGACTTGATGGCACCTAACAACAACACAGTACCAGCATGAATAGTATCATAGAGACCAGGCTCTCAAAAGTGTGTACTTTTCACAGCCCCAAAGCCCATGTTAAAAATGAATCAAATCTTTCAAGTTCCATGTTAATAACTTTCTTAGAATGTTGTTTGTGTCTTGAAGAAAAACTTGACGTATGGCATAAGTGTAATTTAAATCCATAGAACAAATTATGAGGTTTAATGAATGGTGTTCACAACCAGTGCATAAGAGAACAGTGGTTTTCAGTGCTCCTAGACCCTTCTACCTTTATCTTTCCTCCCCCTCCTCAACACAAATCCACACCCCATGCATGCATGCACACACATTCTCATTTTTAACACTTGCTCATTTAGGCAGTGACTTGCAACTGCAGAGAAAGGGGAGGATATCAGGATGTGTGGATGAGGTAATTATAGCATTCTCCCTGAAAGAATTACTTCCTCTGATGAATAACAAAGCTATTTATTCATGTAACTTAAGCAAGTTACCTAATCTGCATACCTTTCCTTATCGGCAAACTGGAAGACATTTAGTAAAATAAACATCTTTTTAATATTATTTTTCTTCCTTTAAAACAATGGGAGTAAGTAGTAGAATTACTTTATGGGAGTTTAGGAGTAGGAATCCTGGCAGATAAAATTAGCTGTCTTCTCTTGCTCTTCTCTGCTCTTTGGAAGAAAGAATGAGTTAACCAGGAGCTGAATGTTTTAGCAAAGTTAGGGCAAAAAAGAAATGTTTAGTTTCTTAAGACATGTAGTTAGTTATATATAAGTTAAATTCTGCCAGAGGGAGTTGGGTGTTTTTGGTGTCATTTTCTGTGCCATCTACCCTCCAGAGAGGCCATTACTTGGAAAATCTTTACCAAAGTTTCTTAGTGGTCATCATTTTAGCCTGAGAGGTTATCTGGTTGTGTTATGTTCCTACCCCCAACAAAACTCTGGGACAGTGTTTTACTTATCTAGTGCTGCTATATGGCGCAGTGGTTAACAGCTACTGTGAACTACGGCTGCTAACCAAAAAGGTTGGCAGTTTGAATCCACTAGTCGCTCCATGGAAACTCTATGGGGCAGTTCTGCTCTGTCCTTTAGGGTCAACATAAGTCGGAACTGACTTGATGACACGTAACAACAACAGTAGTGCTGCTAAAACATAAATACCATTAGTGGATGGCTTTAACAAACAAATTTTTTTTCTCACAGTTTAGGAGGCTAGAAGTATGAATTCAGGGCGCTGGCTCTAGGGGAAGGCTTTCTGTGAGCTCTGGAGGAAGGTCCTTGTCTCTTCTGAGCTTCTGCTCTGGGGCAGTCTTATTTTATTGTACTTTAAGTGAAAGTTTACAATTCGTGTTAGTCTCTCATACAAAAATTTATACGTACATTGTTAAATGTGACCCTAGTTGCTCTCCCTGTACTGTAACAACCACACTCCTCCTTTCACCCCAGATTTCCCATGTCCATTCAACCAGCTCCTGACTCTGCATTCTCATCTCGCCTCTGGACAGGAGCTGCCCCTTTAGTCTCATGTATCTACTGAACTAAGAAGCATACTCTTCACGAGTATCATTTTATGTCCCATAGTCCAGTCTAATCTTTGCATGGAGAGTTGGCCTCGGGAAAGGTTTTAGTTCTGGGTTGGCAGAGAGTCTGGGGGCCATATTTTCTGGGGTTCCTCTAGTCTCCATCAGACCATTAAGTCTGGTCTATTACTAGAATTTGAGTTCTGCATCCCATTTTTCCCCTGCTCCATCAGGAACTCTGTTGTGTTCACTCCTGGGCAATCTTCATGTGGCTTGCTATTGCTATCTCTTTACCCCCACCCCACCCCCACTCTGCTCTCTTGTTTAATCTCAAGAGGTTAATTCAAAATATACCCTACACTAATCCTGCCTCATTAACATAACAAAGACAACCCATTCCCAGATGGGATGATAACCACTGGCCTAAAAGTTTAGGATTTACAACACGTGTTTTGGGGGGACATAATTCAATCCATAATTGACAAATTGTATAATTACGTATTGTGAATTATGTATTGGATGATGATTATTATGCAGAATTGCGGACCTTTTAAAATGTGGAAATATTAGTTCTATTTATTTCTAGATACCATGTATGCATCTTCCCTATAGATGGGTTAACTAAATATGAAATAGTGATGTTTAGAGAAACTAAATGCTGTTCCATAGGTGCAGTTATGTTTAGTTTTGCTGGTGTTACAGAAAATATTTGCTTTAGTTTACTGTGTGTCAATTTGAGTTTTGTAGTTGAACGGTGAGATTGGATTATTATTGATTCCCCCCCACTCCCCGCCCAGAACAAGTAGATAATACTCAATTCGGTTAGATCCCAAAGTGGCAAGCTGTTTGAATTTTTGCGAAGTGTAGACTGGTCCATTAAGGTTTTTCTTCCCTTGGATTTATTTTGAATCAGAACTTTTTTAAAGATTTTGTTTTGTATACAGAGGCTTTTTTTTTTTCTTTTAAGCTTTCTTAAATTCTAAAAGAGAATAATCTGGGTTTATTGGAATAGCCCGTAAGAGCACCTCTATTTTCTTAGTTCTTTAGTGTACTCTTTCTTCTTTTATTTTTATTTTTATTGTTTTTTCAGTGAAAGTTTACACAGCAAATTAAGATTTGCGTTTAACAATTTATATACAAATTGTTCAATGACATTGGTTACTTTTTCACAATGTGTCCACATTCTCATTATTTCTTGTTCTGGTTGCTCTGTTTCCAGTAACCTAGTTTCCCTGCCTTCTTACCTTCTCATCTTTGCTTTAGAGTAATTAATTGTTGACGGGTCTCATATAGATGATTTTCAAAGGAGTGTAGTACTGATGAGAAATAGTCTTTATTTAATGACCCAATCTGTTGTTTAGCTGGAAGGTGATCTTAGGGGATAGTTACAGTTTAAGGTTTAAAAGCATATCTAAGGTCAGTAGTCTCAGAGAGTCTTCTAGTCTCAACTGTCCAGTGAGTCTGGACTTTTTAAGAATTTGAGTTACGTTCCACATTTTTTCCCGTTCCATCAGGATCCATCTATTGTGCCCCTGATCAGAATGATCGGTAGCGGTAACCGGACACCATCTAGTTTTTCTGGTCTCAGGGTACATGAGGCTGTGGTTCGCATAAGCTGTTAGTCCTGTAGACTAGTTTCTTTGAGTCTTCGATTTCCTTTCTCTTTTGCTTCAGACGAGTAGAGACCGGGAAGTTGTGTCTTAGATGGCAGCTCACAAGCTTTTAAGACCCTAAATTAAGATGTAGAACTTAAACTTTATGAACTATCTTATGCCAGTTGACTGAGTTTCCCACGAGACTATGGTCCTTGAAACCCAGAAAACCAATTCTGTGAAGTATTTGGTTATGTCTGAGACGTATCTGTAACTGTGCTCCCTTGGGCTTTATTTTATATATACGAATATATATGCATGCACACAAATACATGCATGTCTCTATGTACATATATGTGTGTGTGTGTGTTATACAAGCAGTCTCCAGATTACAAACAAGTTCCGTTCCTAAACCTGTTTTTAAGTTGAATTTGAACACAAAAGTCGGAACAGATAGGTATGGTTCCAATCTAACATCAGTCAGATGTTTCTCTTATTATGTACTTTATGGCATACCTTTCTATGCATAAAAAACATTAAAGAAACACCTCCCAGATACACTAAGACATCTTTAACATAATAATACAAAATAATAATAATGTTTTGATGCACGTAGTAACTAGTGCCTGTTATTACGAACCTTTGTATGTACCTCGAATTTTTAATGTAATAGACATTAGGGAGGGTTGGTTTGTAAGTATGGGTAGTACATAAGTTGGACATTTGTGACCTGGGGACTGCCTATACATATGTTGTTGGGTGCTGTCGAGTTGATTGCAACTCAGAGCAACCCCCTGTGACATAATAGAACTGCCTCATAGGGTTTCTTGGCTGTAATCTTTACCGAAGCAGATTGCTGGGTCTGTCTCCTGTGGAGCCACTGGGTGGATTTGAACCACCAACCTTTGGGTTAGCAGCTGAGTGCTTAACTGTTCACACCACCAGAGCTCATTTTACGTAACGCATATAGATACATCTGTATGGGTACACAGGTATAGATACTTGTATACATATAAGGGAGC